ATCTACCTAACCCTGAAGTATTCATGCTTGTTCTACTTCTCTCAGTTCAGACAAGATTTAGGAGAGATCAAAAGGCATTTCGAAGACCAATGTCCTCAAATCCGAAGCCAAAAGTCTTTCATGTCCATGGTGGCAAATTTGTGAATAACTTTCACCATACTTTTGATATGGAATAAAGTGCTCTATAAAATGAAACTATTAACAGGTTACTCTGAAATTTAGCTTAAATCTCATTTTTCTGCTTGTTTCTCAATTTATATATTCACAGAATAAATGAGTGCATTAAGGAGTTGCAAAAACACATCATAAAACATGCTGCGTTAGTCATAATTGAAGGAAGTTGTAAAAAGTTACGGAAAAACAATTAGGGCTGAATTGCATTACTTTAGCATACAGGTTCTATTTGTCTGAGCCTCTGGGCTGGTATGGGAAATTTACCTGAATACGGACCATCTTAACTAATAATAATAATAGCTAATAAAAAACGGGCGATTTATCAAATTTAGCAAGTTTATTAGCAGTTTATTCTTAGAATTGGCTTAAGTAGGAAAAATACCAAATGAAAAATGCAATAGTAGTCATTATTTATCCAAAGCTTGTACATGTCTGTGAAATCGACACTATGCGATCTGAATGTGCAAATCGCAAACAGATACTGAGACATTTTTAGTTTATAAATAGATTTTTTAGACTATAAACAAATCATATATATGAAATGTATTCATTCTATTTCATTTAAGGTGATGAAAGAGTGGCAATTGCATTTTTCCACAATGATATGAATATTAATTTGATATAGCAAAGGCATCTTTGTCTTATCGGTAATTCCATCACAGAAAGTGATAGGCGAAAAATTTAGGTTTCCTTCAACTTCACCTCGGCCCTGTTACCCAAGGGCACTCGTGTCAGTGTGGCATATTAGTTAACGTATCGAGACCATACGATTAACTCTCTGATTATGAGACCTCTTTGAGTGATGATGAGAGATGAAGTCGAAATTGCATCACAGCCTGGATAAGAAAGCATTTTTTTAAAACAAAGATATGTGAACTTCACTGGAAACTTGGTGCCTAGGTACGAAAAGTAACTGGGCTGCGATCAATACCTTGGGATAATAATGTTGAGAAGAATTTAATTTGATATGAAAGTGCATGCTAATGAGATTCGTAGGTCAATATCACTAGAAGATGGCGACTGATTCTCGTTGTATCGCAGCCGTTTGGTTAAAACCAAACTTTCAATCGACGAGACATCCTCCCTCATTTCGGGTGAGAGCTGGCTAAACCCTCGTTCCTCATATGAAGAATTTCATTAATGCTGAAAATAATTTTTGCGAAGTAACGACAGCTAATCGACTCTATCCTACAATCACAACAAAAAATAATGATAAATTAATGATTAAAGAATGGTTTAGTTTTTCCTCTTATACTTAACTGTGTCTGTATGTATATGCATTTGGGTATATATTAACGTATGTACGAAATACTGACTAAAGCTCATCAACCAAAACAGACGTACGAGATTGCATAATCCCACTTATGCTTTTTCTTGGGCCGTTAAGCTTTAAGTACCTCAGGCTAATTGGTCATGCCCAGTGATTTAGTTACCTGAATTCGACACATTCCGGCTTAAAGATCACTGAACGAGACAGAGTTACTTACGGGCTTAGGTAATCTCGATCATGCTTTTCCTTGAGTAAATATTGCACTGATACTACGGGGTGACTTTGAAATCCTTTGTAACTAGTTTATGTTACAGCCGTTATTTTGTACGGATGTTAAAACACACACAAACACATAAAGAAAAATTTGCTTATCAAACCAGTCTATATCAATTTTTAATGTATTTTTTGTTATCAATTTTTATTGCATGTAGCATAGATGGATTAGTCTTCTTGACTTTGTGTCAACTCGAGACTTTTGCAAAAATGAGCTGCAGTTCTAATGATGTTCGTCATTTGATGAGCGAAAGCATAGCTTGCTTTTACCCAAAACGATGAAACAACGGAATAAGCCGTAGTCTTCTGCTAAGATAAGCCTACGAATCTTCTTGTCATGAAATTTCAAATTAAGAAAAGATCTCCACATCAAAAACCGCTTTTTATTTGTATATTTAAGGTTAAAGCAGCAAGAGCTATGAACGAGAAAGTTTTTTAAGGAAGCAACTTTGGATCAACTCTATTCGCCGAAGCATGCCTTTACGGATCATAGGGGGCAAAATAATAATTATTTATTTCAATTTTCAAGCCTCTGCCAATAAGTGAATGAAAATAAGTTAAAAATCACCGATAAGGTTGTAAAAGAAAGAAAGCTAAGCAACCAGATGAATACATACTTTTCACTTGCAGCTCAGTTCGACTGATTTTGCTACCACCGCGATTGGAAACACGTGCCGTGTACTCCTCAACATCTTCAATACCACAGTCGTGAACTATAAGTTGGCAGTTTCCATTCTCTTTGACCATCTCAATTCGACTGGAGGGGACGAGTTCGCGACCACCCTTTGACCAGACGACATCAAACGGTGAGCTACAGTCGACATCGATCTCGAATACAGCATCTCGTCCCTCCGAACAAGTGACTGGCTTCAATCCACGCCGTAGTACCGGAGGTGCGCAGGCTATAGGATAGATTGATAGGGATAATATAAAAGGAATAGGTCAATTCGCTTAACATTCCATTGTCAGGCCAGACTAGCACACCTTCTGAAAGTTTGACAATGACAACTGTATATAGGCATACCTGAGAGCATCACTATGCTAACAGCTTGACATTTCTGTAACAAGCCAAGTTACACAGAGTAGCCTGCCATTTGATCTTGATGTGAGTAGGCTTCGAGAGTATCAGTAATTCTTGAACATAAATTTTATGTTAATCACAACTACGGTTTGCAACCCTATTGTGGGCTCTGTTGGGACTGCGGCGGACTCAAGACTGCAGTCGAATCCGGATGATACACAATTTTTCAGGCATTATGAGGCCTTTGGCTCATGTCATTTTTGGACATTTCATCTATCAATACTCCATATTTTGCGACTAATTCTTTATCAAAAGGTCATTAAAAAGCTATCCATCGATGTACAGGTTACTGTCACTTAGGAAACAAGCTAATTACTTGCGTTGGAAATAATAAGTGTGCTTGTGGAAGAGCTACACAGTAGACTTAATTTAAACATGCGTTTACTTGAAGGAGCAATTTATAATAAGATCTCATTTAAAAAACGAGTAGCGCCAGGGCCGTGAAAGAAACATTATGTGTTCATGGCAATAAACTAAATTGCTCTTACTACCCAATGATTTTTAAATAATTTATAATCGTCATTTTTCCCCTTTCGAAGGGTTAGCCACTTGCAATACATTTTTATGAGAGGTACTTCAAGGGAAGATAATAAATGCCAAAAAGCTTTCATTATTTAGCACATCATGCGTGCCGAAAATATAATGACATACTCGTGCTCTCTTATCGCGATACAGGGCATAAATTTAAGATATTTACATTGCATCATACATAAAACTCTATTTTGGAGGACAGATTTATTTTAGATGCCAATTTATGGTTAGATTATGGAGTTGTGTGCTGTTTTCGCGCCCTCTATAATCTGATACGCAAATGTTGGGTTCAGGCACTCTTTCTTCAAAACAAGAAAACTCCCTTAAATGAAGCAACAATCCCTCTTTTATTTCTAGAGTAACAGCCATCTGCAGATGTCCAAGTGATTAATATACAAGGAAAAGTTGTTTTAAAAGTAAGCCCCTTGGTTAAAATAGTTGAGCTCTACTCCATTTCTAGTGAAGAGCTGCGCTGAAGAGATTTGGAGGTCAATTACACCATAAAATGGTGCACTCCTCTTCAGTTCCTCTGGCCAGGAGAAATGCAGCATCTTCTTTCGATGGAATCGACCTACCAGTCTCTTTATTGCACATTATCTCTAAAAATGGAGGTGAGGCTATTTGGAATTAACGTCCTGGACCTTGACTTGTCCCAAACGTGTCAGCAATGAAAGCTAATTCATCAATGCAGGCAAGGATAAGAATTATTGTCATCGTGTTTCTGTCCAGCTGAAAAACAATGGATCTCCATGCATAACTCTCTGTATCCCAGTTAGTCCCGCTAAAGGATCTATTATAAAACATATTTAAATGCGACAAAAACTGATCTAATACCATCTTTATAGGCTATTAGCTAGGAATAAGCTTCTTTATACATCAAATTTGTATGAAATTTGACATCATGGAATGTGTTTTACATGAGATCAGTCGCAGGTATTTTAGGTAGACGACGATGTTCATAATCTGAAGGCAGAAGGCATCCGTGGCGAAGACAAAATAATTTAAATTAACCTACAAATGGTCCCCATGTGCTGAGGTAACATCGAGTCGGATACTTTCTATTTAGGTCAAATAACAAAAGTCTCACTAAAAAATTCACAGTAACATTAAAACCTGTTAATAATAGTCGTTATTTACATTACCAATTAGCTTATATCACTGATAAATATCCTTAATCAGAGCATTATAGAGGGGAACTTCGAAAACCAAATGGGAAAAAACAAATGTTGACAGGTTATTAAGTTATCCATCTGAAAGCATAATGGAAGCCAAGTTCATCAACATTGAGAAAGACTGGGGTGCAATTAAATCGGCGAATGCTCTTCTGCGTATTGATGGGAAAGATAATGGGCAAATAAAGTAAGGGGTAGCTTATTCATTAAGGTCATTAAGAGAGAAATATCCACGAAATTATTGCAGGGTCATTTTAGAGTTTAGAAACAATTTGACTGATATAAATAAGAGCTGCAACAAATTACTTTTAACCATACCAATAGCTTATGTGCAGATAAAACTGTAGCAGAGATGTAGCATGAAGAATCAAAATAACTTAAAACAGATTATAAAATTAATCCATGATTCACAAAGCGCCCACTTTACTCAATTTAGAATACATGTGTTATATGTGTCTTATTTTTTACTTACCTATAATCCTAAGTAACAATCAACACGCAAGTGATGGGCCCAACTCTACTTAGGATAAAGTCATTATGGCCCTGAGTCAGAAATTCATTGCTGGCTCATACAACCATCGAGATTCGAACCAGCCTCTTAAGATGTAAATTTATAAAACAAACTCATTTAAATTTTCGTTCTTCCCTATCACTTGACAAAACTAGCTACAAGGTAACACAAATTTCATTGGTTAGCTGGATCATAGTATTCAGATAATTTAATCTTACCGGCCCTTATAACATATCGCCGCTATGTATTGAGCTGATTCAATAACAAAACTCGATGCATGACATATGATGCTGATAGGAGATTAAAAAATCATAATTCAGACCCAAGACTATGTAGCAAGCACATTTGTTAAAAGAGAACTTTCAGTCGCTCAAACGGGTCTTCTTAAATCAACACTTATCCAAATGGGGCATACATGTTACGTAATTTAGGCTGAATGGTCATTGAACCAGTGATAAAATCTGTTGGAGCTGGTGTTCTCGTTGGGTTAATAAGCAGAGAGGAGAGACGCAGAGCGATGAATATATAGTCGGAGGCTTTCGAAGATGACAATCTAAGGAAAAAATCGTTTATGCATGCTGCTATTGAGCCGAAATTTGCCCAAGGGAATGAAATAAAGGTACATTTCAATACGCTTTCACAGTAACCCAGAGAAATAACTTGATAAAATCAAATTTGCTTAATCACAACAAAAATTAATTAAGACTATTTTTACTTCGGGTCGTTAGTAATGTTCAATGCAATGACTTGCATATGAAAGACTCATTTCCGAATGCTTTAAACGATTGTTGTGCAATAAAGTAGGGTAGCATAAAGCCGAAAAGTTGAAACTACAATGATGATTCAGAACATATTGGTCACGTATTAAATGGTATAGCTTGAAAATACAAGCATACAGAGGGTTAGTCGAAAGGTAGTCGATTGCCAAGGTTATAATCTGCGATAAAAGCGAGTTAAATATTAGAATGTGAACTTGTTCCCTTTGAATGTATATTACTACTAAGAGTATGCTGAATTTGAGGATAAATTTTTGACAATTTAGTAAGACTCAGCTTAGATTATAATCGAATTATTTCTGTTGTCCGTCTTACCTCGAGGATCCTTTATCAGTACTGGGCGTCCGATCACAGAGGGCTCACTTTCGCCGGCATCATTGACTGCTATAACACGGAATTCATAACTCTTGTCTTCTATCAAGTGGGGCACGTTGAGGCCAGTCGTCAGGATGGGCTGCTGCGTGAGTCTCGTCCAGCCTCCGGGACCGGTACCGGCACCACTGCCCCCAACCTGGGGCACAGACTCACGTCGTTCAACAATGTAGCCCTTAAGACGGCCACCACCATCTTTGATAGGCCGAGACCAGGCAAGGTTGACGAAGTCTGCGCCCACCTCGGTGGCTGTCAGATCACCAGGCTTGTCCGGCTTTTCTAAGCGGCAAAATGAGCGATAGGTGCAGAAAAAACCATTAAAACCTTCTTAAAATGCCCCAATTCTGACCTAAATTATAAGCTCTTTGGTATCAAAATCTAAGGCAAATAAGACCGTTGTGCAGTATACTTTTTAATCTAACTCAAACGAAATCGTGAGTGAGGAAAAGAAA